AGTGTGTTTATTACTAATTGTTGTCTACTTTTGCTGACCTGGAGAATGGTCAATGGTGGAAAGCATATTTAAACCTCTTGTTTTGGCATAGGAATAGAGAAAAGTCATGTGCAAACACCTCAAGTCTTCAAAGAGAGCATGTTAGTGTTTAATGATGATATTTTTTGTGTCATCAGTCTCTCTTTCCTAGACACCTAAGGGGATATTGGTCCCCAGAAATGTCTATCATAGCTACACAAACTCAACATAGCCATGCACCATCCTCTTGACTTCACAACAATTTTTCTTGTCTTCTCTCCACTGGACATGCCATCTTCTGGGTTTATAGTTAGTGATTACAAAGACCATGCCTGTTTTGTGTTCAGGATCTATTCTTACTGGTGTATACCCACAAGTGCTCCCCAACTGCTTACACAAAGCATGTGCACTACATCCAAGGTTAATTTAATCACAGGAAAGCTCTTTGCTGAGAGGATTGACTCAGATCTGTTTCCCAGAAAACTTAACTATGGATGTGTTGTTATGGACCCATATTTATGTAGGAGCCTTTGTCAACTATGTTTTTCTTTGTGTCCTGCAGATAATAAAAGTCAGGAATCATGTTCACAAATAGAAAAGGTATCAAGCAATTGAGCTGAGTGAAAGTATCAGAAATCAGAGAGAGAGACATTTCTGAAGGTGCCTTTTGTCCACAGCTGTATGGCAAGAGTCAGGTATGCTGTTTTTTGGAACTTTCAGATGAATGGTTATGGTTTGAACCCAGACTGCTGGTGACTTTGACCTTGGACCATAAGTGTTTTGCAGAAACTCAGTGACTAGCCATGTTTTGGAAGCACATTGAACCTCTACCCTAACAAGGAGCATCAGCCCATTCTTGTATCTCATGGAGGCTGCTTTATGGAATCTGGACAACTGTACAGAAAAGGAAAAATTGCGAGAAGAGATAGCTCTATTTTCAGTTGAGCGTCTATATGTACAAGGAATCTACTATCACAAATAAAAATATCCTCTTACTTAAGTAGGAGCATTCTGATTGTTAGACGGAAACAAACAATCAACTTGGTACAGGAATGAAGATGTTGGGCCTCAGAAAATGACAACACAAAAATCAACTGTTGGTGAGCCATGCCTTACCATGACTTCCCAGTTCAAATTCCCACAAAACCACTTTAGTTCCTAGAGTTTGAGTTGAAATACCCCACAAGGGCTTGCCATATAGAGCCTGCCAATAAGAAATAATTATTATTGTTGACATAAATAATAGAGCCAAATATGAGTGCCCAACCTGGGTACATGGATTCAAGTCACTCTAAATGACCTTTTTTTTTTTTTAACCATGGAAGAGATTACATGAATTTTATAGTCAAAGAACAAAGAAAGGTCATAAATCAATACTATTACCAATTACATTGTTGGAAAAAGCAGAGAGGCAGGAAATTATCCTCCATACATTTCAGATTTTACCTTAAAAAGGTTCTTCACTTAGTGTTGCTTGAAGTTAGAGTCCTGTCAAACTTAGCTACACATCCCAAAAGTTTTATCTAGTTGGCAAAATTGTGTTAGGTCAGATACAGAAACAGAGAAATCCAGTTCACATTATTACTGCTATTGTGATTAACATTGTTATTGTTATAATTTTCAGTCATCAAACAAAAGACAATGCTTCCTTTTTAAAATATCTCCTACTGTGTCTTTTAAAATAAGAAGCAGTACAAGAGTGGATGCAAGGAAGTTTTCCTCTTAGAAACCATCATTGGACCTTATGACTGATCTGGACAGTTTCTGTTCAACCTCTCCTGTCATTTTCCCCTCCATCTCAGCCCTCACCAATTCCATACACTGCACAGAGCCATCCTGAAGAAGTTAGAAAGTTGTACACAAGAAAAAAATCCCTAATTAATGTGACAGGTTTAGATCACTTATTCATAACAATGTTCAGGCTATGAGTAAATGCCAAATATGCATGAATTAGAAAACCTATCTTATCTGGGTGCAAAACATAGAGTTTTTATGGAAAGCAACTGAGCTCTCTATTTCTCAAAGCACTAGATAGCATGCCAAGTAGGGAACAAGAAGTGTTTCTTCAGTGTTTGGTCTGACATTGGCAATGGTCCTGGTTCTATGAGGCTCAGGCTCATCTAGTTATTTACCATCCTGCTCAGTGCCTCTATGAAACCAACAGACGTATGGGCAACACAGGACAGAGCAACAATAAGGAGAGAGGAAGCAGACATCAAACGCAGTGTGTTTGTGTGCATGTGTGTGTGCACAGATAAGACAGAAAATGAGAACTGGACAAAATTAAACTTTTAGGAAGCGAAATTTAGCTGTAGGCTATGGGTCATTTCTCAGGAGTCCAAAAACAACCCTGGAAGAGACTGACTAGCTGTGGGAAGTCACTTGACCTCAATGAACCACAGTTTCCTGAGCTGATAAATAAATTTTTGAAATAAATCAGCAGATCTCAACTCTCATTGCACATTAGAATCATCCAGGGAAGTTTAAAAAATAATGCTGACTAGGCCCCAATAGAATACACTCCCAGGAATGGGCCCCAAACTCAGTCTTAAAAACAAATCCTCAAGTGATTTTCTTATGCACCTGAATTTGGAACCAGCACTTATTGAATCCTGTCTATTGTATGTCTAAAATCCTCAGGTAGAAGGACCTGCCCCAGGTCTTGGGGCCTTCAAGGCCTGGCCCCAATTTCTTTTCTTTCAGCCTTAGATTCAGAGTCTTCATCACTCTGTTCTTTATTTTCTCTTCTACACAGTAGGCAGCGAACTTCTCAGAGTCTTCTTGATTCAGACAAAGGCATGGAGAAAGAATGCAATTATTCTTATTGCTATTCTCTTATTTTTCTAATGTAGACAGATACTAGGCCATTTTTCTGAAATCGCACCATATTAGGGAATGTGTACTATACAAAATCCTTATCTTATTTCCAAAGTCATTACTTTTGACCTAGAATCACTTACCAGTTGACTAAAAGCCATGTAGAATATGTCTGGCTCCATATTAAAAGCTGGCTTCTTGTTAGAAACAAATTCAACCCCTAGGTAGTGTGGGTTTCCATGGTGGGCTTCTGTGTGTTCTAGAGCATCCTTTCCATTAGCAGAAGGGGCTGCCCTCATTTTGGGTAATCTTAGTTAAATGAAAGCTTTGTAGTAAATATAGAAGGTATACAATATGCCTCCATGAGACGATCTTTAAAGGAAAAGGTTTAACTGAAGCCCCAAATTCATATATACTTTCCTGCGTCTTTGATTTTCTTGGGAGTTTTCAGTTCATACAAGTCAGGTTTACACATATTTCTCCTCATGATTTAAAATTGGTATTTAACATTTGGAATATCTCTGCTAATTATATCATATCTTAAATTCTCTTAAATTCATAAGTTCACATGGTTATTCTTACTAACAGCTCATTACAGTGTCTTGATCACTATATGTAAATATACTCTTGGCTTTTGAGTTATTTGTGAACCACATGCAATCACATGCACAGATAGAGGAGTCAGACAGCAGAAAAACTTTTTCATAAATCGTCTGATGACTTTTACTCAGGTGTCATCTAGGTACTATCTACCCCACCTATACCACAATTTGTCTTCCCACAAATACTAACTGAATTTTTATCATGTCATTTTTATATTGCAGGCTCATTTGGAAACAAGGAACTCTCACAGGAAGTAGCAAAAAGATGTCTCTGTACTTTTCATCTGACTTTCCTCAATGGTGACATTTCACATAACTGTAGTACAATATTAAAAACAGGACAATGAAATTGATACTATGTGTGTATTTTAAGTTGAAAAGTCAAGAACTCATCTACAAATTCATATGCACAGTGTTTCTACTGAAGCTACTTGATGTCCCATCTCCATGTCTTTCCTAGAAGCACCCATCTTCTAGGTGATATGAACTCTATTATTCTTATTTCTGTGGTTTGATCTTCCAGCCCATGTATATTTTGTTGCATTTATTTCAATCACCTTTGTTTTTGGAGGTTAACATTGGTCATTTTTATTCAAACATTTTATTATGTGCTTTTCAAGCAGAGAAAAGTCAAGAGAATTTTACAATGAACACTCATCTAAATAGAGTCTACACTTTCTAGATTTACTTTCTCCCATGTCTTCTTAGTCCCATATTTCTCTATTCCCCCATTAATTTATTTGATTTTATTGTTGCATAAGAAGGCAATCTGTACAATTAATTACATACATATGTGGATGGCTTTTTAAGAATAAATTTGGTAAAATAGTAACATGGTTTCAAAGCCAGATGTAGCAAAATCTAATTTTTATTGCTGTCCTTTTTCTATTAGTAAATATTAAAAATTCCATTCATTTGTCCATGGTTTTCATTTTTATACAAGCAGGTAATTATACATTCCTCTATCCTTTCAGTTTCTCCCTTTCCTCACCTGGTCTATGCTGTGTGTAAGAGTAACACAAAATACTCAGTCAATCATCTCAATATGCCCTATAGAATATATAATGAAAGTTGAAATTGCTTAAGATAGCTTATTTTAGGACTTACCTCATGGTCCTCCAAGCATATACACACTCCCTGTGCATGCTTCCCCCAACACACTGCACAAATTCAAAAGGTGTATTAAGCAGAGTCTAAAGCTATGGAAATTTACTTTGCTTCCAGTACCTGGAGTGATAGGTATGTCTCAATGCTAATGACTTAGTGAATTGGGTGGAATGAAACCACCATACCTAACCTACCAAATAGCTTTGTAAGTTTATCAAATGTGTGATGAAATGAACCAGAGGAATATAAATTTCCCGTTACTTCTTTTATGCATGTCAAGACAGCGGCAAAGAGATAGCAGCTGTCAGTTTAGTAGCAAATATAAAACGGCCAAATCAAAGGCTTAGAATTATCTAGCATGACAATGAAAAAGGCATTGTGCATGTTTTCCAATAAGCAGAGATGTGTCCTCAGATTTCTAGTTTACATTTATTCCATGACAGGATGAATTTTTCCCCATGCAAGTGTGTCTGAAGCAGTCACTGGTATAGAATTGAAGGCGAGGCCACACGAGACCAAGAGTTGTAATGTTTTTTTTGAACTCAGAAAAACAGTAATCCTGCCCCAGAAGTTTATTCTGCTTGACAAATCTGTTCTTCATTTAGCATCAACACAGGTGAAAACAGTGTCACTAGCATGTTTTGAAGTGTAATGCAATTGACTCAACCCAACCCATTCCTACCACTCTTGCTCAACAATGGGCAATCCCCGCTTTCAGGGAGGAGAGTGACATCAATCAACCAACTGCCCAATTCCATTGTGTTTAGACACAATTGCCCACCATATTTTTTAAAAAATATGATAGTGTTTGTGTACACACAGCTTCCTCTGTTAAAGGGCTGCTAGTTCTGCATAAACTTCATCTGAAGCTCTCTGTTTCCACATAAACATAGAAGGCATCTTTTTAAATGTCACAAACAAAATACACTCAAAGAGTTTGGGATTTTATGGAATATTTTTGGGTGTGCAGAAAAAAGGAGATTATATCACATGAATCTAACAATCACCTAAAAGCTAAAGGAAGTTATTTATGCCATATTGTGCTCACACCTCCCAGACAGGCTATTCCCTTATTTTGACTTTCCTTGTTACATCAAATGTCTATTAAGCTATGAACAAATGTCCAAGAAAGTGTTTCAATGGCTCAGACTCACTATTTTTGACACTAGTGTCACACAGGTCAAGAAAAGGTAGATTATCAGTTATTGACTGTGTTCAAGGACCAGCAGATCTTGGTTATAGTGGGGTACAGGGGATGGAACTCTCACCTGTAACGCTGTAGGCATGTAAAGAATTCCTCCCCTGCTGGTTTACTCTCATCTATACTCTTTTGTTTTCTCTTACAGCTCATAGAAAATTGGGGCTCTGGCTACACAAGAAGGACACTAGCAGACTAATAAAGGAAGCTGCTCATTCCAGAGGCCTAATCATAAGGAAGGTCCATGAACTCATAGGCACCCAGGACAGAAAGAATTGTCTTTGGTCAATTACAGTAGGGGTATGTCATAGAAGATTGGATGCTATGTCTCAGCCATGGGTACCAGGAGAAAGAAAGTGAGTGGGTACAGTCAGGCCACAGAGGACATGTTGTCCTCAAATATTTTGTGTCTCATCAGGTTACACCATTTTGGAGGCAGTGACTAGGAAACATCACTGCAATATTTAGTTATGAGTACATCAAACGGGTAACAATGAGCTGTATTTCAAAACATAGGGTTCAGCTCACCAGTGAGCCTCAGAGCCTTCTCATAGCACAGTAGGGCCTCATTCACTTCGCCTCTCAATTTGTGGATGAGCCCAAGGAGGCTGAGGCTTTCCACAACACGTACATTCCTGTTAAGACGTTTTTTAGCAAGTTGTTCCAAAGCCTTGAGAACATGTCTCCTGGCAAAGGAAATTTCTTTTACTTTTAGTCCTTTTAGATAATGGGTGATTGCTTTATCTTCAGATTTCTGGTGAAATTGTAGGAAGCGGCCATAGCGGAGATGAATCTCTTGCTGCAAGTGATCAGCAATGTTTTCCATGACTAACACTTTTTGAAAATTGTCCTCTGCCATTCTGAATTGGCCAATTTCTGCATACATTTCAGCCAGAGTAACATAAGCCATCTCAAATGTGGGCCTTAGCACTAAAGTCTTTTGGAATTCAGCTATAGCCAGTTGAACCAATTTGTCTACTTTTTCTCTATCCTGCCCTCTAGGCTGCATGTTTGTTGAGTTCTTTATTTGTAACACTTGTGCCCTGTAACAAAGCCCCACCTGGTAATGCAGGTAGGCAGAGGAGGGTGTTGCCTGCAAGGCCCTTTCAAGGAGCTCAAGAGCTTTATCCACGCAGCCATTTCTTCTGTAGAACTTGGATGCATAACGAAAGACATAAACCTGGGAGGAGGTGTTGTGCAGAGCCTTTAAAATGTACTCTTCTGCTTCGACCTGTTTTCCTGCATCCTGAAGTTTCAGAGCAAGAAGGACCTTAATATATGCATCTCCTGGATTTAGCCTGACAGCGTGCCTTAAGGGCTCTAGAGAAATGAAACTCTTATCAAAATCTTGGCGATAGGTGGCAATGGCAAACCCAGTGCTGAATTCAGGGTTTTCAGGTTCCGCTTGCAGAGCTTTTTCAAAGCAGACCTTGGCTTGTTTCTGATACTGTCCTCCACACTTGAGCAAGGCCCAGCCTTCCTCACAGTCCATCTGAGGACACTCCACCCTATAGCGGAAGGGACTTGCAAACTTCTGGCAAATGTTTTCTACCTTATCCAGGTAAATCTGGACTTTTTCCAACTTGCCCATGTGGTAATACAGCCAGGCATAGTTGCCCCAGGTCACCAGGCTTCTCATGTCTGACTTGTCTGCATGCTGTCTCTGGGTCAAGTCTTCAGCATCTCTCAAGCTCTGCAGGGCTTCCTCATCCTGGCCTTGCAGGTGTTTCACATAGGCCAGAAGGTTGTGGATTCCCACATTGAACTTGGTGTCTAGGAACTCAATCTCCTCTAAGACCCTGCTTTCTAAATCAGGTATTTCAGAGTCTTCGACTACCAGCCCCCATGTAAAGTGACATCTCAGTTGAACCAGGCTCTCCTGGACTTGACGATCATCAGCATTCTCACTATAAGAAGAAAAGAGATTTCGTTACCTGAATATTAGCCACGGAAAAGGAATCAAACAAAACTCCTTGTACAATTTTAGTGCTTTTTCTTTACGTTCTCACACTTAGATATCCTTACATTCCCTTGACTTTTAGATATTCATGGACGATGAATGAGCTTTACATGGCTCTGTATCATGCTTCAGCACTTCCCAGGCAAGTAACCCTCCTGGGCTTCAGAGCTCTTTTGCAAAATGAGGATGACATTAGTATTCATCACTGGGCTTTGGGGAAAACAAACCTACATGTAGGAAGTACTCACACTGTGTGTCCCTAGGTAATACTTTCTTATTTTACTATTGAGTATAATGATGAGTGACTGATACTTAAAAATGTAGAACTTCAACAACCATTGCTGAGTTCAGGCTTTCACTGCTTGCAGTATAGAACAAATGAAGACTACTCAAATGAGATAACATTCTACTAAGGTTTCTCTTTCCACTGTTACTTGGAACACTTGTAGTTTCACGGAAGTTTTTAAATATAGATCAGAGATGCTGTGCCTTTATTACTCAGTTTCTTGAAGGATAGTACAATAAGAAATCTATGGAGGTAATGTAGGTATAACATAGTTTGTATATAGTGTATTTATTTTCACATGAGCTAATCTCTGTAATCAACACCTATGAGAAGTTGCAGACTGTTCCATAACCACCAACTTTGCTACATGGAACTCATTTACTGTCACACCTTAGCCTCTTGCCCAGGACCCCAACACAACTATAATCCCTGTAAAGTAAAAATTTGTTCTTTATCACTGTAATTTATCATTTTGTGATTGTAATATAATAGAGGATTTCCTTCCAAACAGTAGTCAAACACACAAAAATTAATCAATGTGACATGTCATTAATAGAATAAAGAAAAGAAGATCACATTTGTCCCAGAAACAGGATCAGAAAATTTGTTGACAAATTTAATACTGTTCCATGATTAGAATCACTCTACAACCAAGTGATAGCAGAAACTTCTTCAAGCAAGTAAAGGCCATATATGAAATGCTCATAACCAGAATCATCCTCAAATGTGAAAATTAAAACCTTTTCCTCCAAGATCAGGAACAAGGCAAGGATATCTTTTTTTTTACCTTACATATTCTGTATAGATCACATATATCTAAAAACCTAGGGAGTCCATACTAAAATTGTTGTAAGTAACAAGCAATGTCACAGGATACAAAATCAACATGCAAATATAAAATGGGTCTCTTTGGTGACAGTGGGGTTTGAATTTAGGGCCTTCTGCTTCTTGGGAACATGCTTTACCACTTGAATCACACCCCAATCCTTAAGTGGGTTTCTATACACAAATTAGGAACAATACACAAAGGAAATTAAGAAAATAATTCTATTTCCAATGGCATTGAAAAGAGTAAAGCACTTATAAGTTAACTAAAAAGGCAAAAGACTTCTACACTAAAGTTAAAAAATGTTGCTGAAGTAAATTAAGGAGGACACAAATAGATGGGAAGATTTCTTGTGTTCATGGGTTTCAAGACTTCACATTGTTAAGATAAAAGTACTACCCAAAGTGAAGTATAGAGTCAAGGCAATGGCTATCAAAATCCCAATGACATATTTTGCAGAAGTGAAAAATTTTAACCAAAAATATTTCATCTTCTCAAATCACCAAAATGATATTGAAAAGAAAGAACAAATGTGGGCATTTTACCAGTCTTGATTTCAAAACTCACTGTAAAGGAACAGAAATGAATGTATTATGGTCCTGATATAAATGGGAGAATACAGATATACAGACCAAAGGAGAACAGAAAAGATTCAAGAAATAAAACCTGGAAAAAATAATCACACGATTCTGCTCAGGCTACCATAACAAAATACCACTGACTGAGTGGCTGAAGCAACAGAAATTGATTCTCTCACAGTTCTGAAGCTAGTCACTCTGTAGGAGACCTCTGATCTGGGAAGAAGGGCAGTTGTGACAGTCAGGTGAGACACAGGGGCAGGCACTCACAGAAACACATGAAATAACAGAAGCAGACTATTACTCATAGAGCTCAGAGCACACGGCAAAAGGCTATGTAGGGGCAATAGATCAAGGTCCCTGCCGTATGGTTCCTAGCAAGTGCTCTCTTTTCTGACCAGGATGGCTGTGTTCCTGGGCATCCTCAATTGGTCTTTCCTCCTGGCCCATGAACACAGAGAATTCTGTCTCTTCCTCCTCTGTGAAGAACACCAACCAGCCTTATAGAAGTAAGGACTAGCCTCAGCTCTTTATTTAACCTTTATTACTTCCTATTAGATCATGTCTCCCAGTATTGCCTCATTGCAAATAAAGCTTCAACTTGTAAAATGGCAGGGGACACAATTCTAACTACCACTATGGTGAAGTGAATTTTTGGTCTTTTAAAATGGAGTAGTTCCTTTTATAGTAAAAAAGATCATAATAGGTTACATTAGTGAATTGCTTATAATATATGATAGGTATGATGTTATGTTGCCTGGAAGTAATTCTCATAGAATTGTTGAGTAGTCTGCTCTGAAATAAGAATTTAAGTAGCCTCCACCAAAAACAGAACATCACAAATGGCCAGTTACCTCCCTCATTTACTAGAAGACAACAAAACTGAACTTCAGCTACTCCTTACACACTGTTATGTCCCCACTTCCTACCTAAGCAGTGTTGGATGGATGAATAGACAAAAAGGTGTTACTAGGTCATGGACTCTATGAAAATGGTAAATATTATCTTACATGTATTTTATTATTATAAAAAGATATATTGCCAACCTGATCGGCAATTTAAACAAGGATGTGCATACAATATGTATATATTTTCTACTAGTGTATGTTAAAATAAACATTAAAACATATTGATTGATTAGAATGTCGTCAGCAATGATTTCATGAAGCCCCACTGTCCACCATTAGAGAAATTGCTTTAAACATTTAATAAATTCTCGGTTCACATCAAAGCTCTACTGTTTACTGACTCAGTTAAGTTACAATTTCTAAACTAAGATCACTTAGTGGAAAATCAGGATGATGAAGTGATCACTGGTTTGTCTCATTAATTTTTTCTGACATCTAAACCTAATAATTTACATAATACTTTTATTTTAGTTTTTAGTAGCACCATCCTTTGAACTCAGGCAGGTGCATACCTCTTGCACCAGGCCTCCAGTCCTACATAATACTTTAGAACTTAGACTGACACTTAATGAACTTAACATTCAAGAAGTGATAGCTACTTTTATAAATTTTTATTAATATTTCTCCTTATGTTATTTATCAGTGACAACTCTGTATTGATAGAAGGGTTGTTCATAGGCCTGCAATTGTGCATTTTCTAGAACATTTGCCCCCCAGTATTCCCCAGTGGAACCCTGAAAGGACATTAGCAGATCAATCAGCTTTTTAGGTAAGGAATAAGTGAATGCTCCCAAGCAGAGAAATCCAGCCAAGACCCAGGGAAGGAGAATATCAGGGACCTGCAGTGGTCAGGCTTCCCCAGGAACAGGTAAATTGCTCATCTTCAATGCAGTTAGACCACTCTGGTAGCCCAGCTGTCATTGAGAACAGAAGCCTGGGGAGGAAGGCCACAAGCTTCCCCACTACATCCATAGTAGCACATGCATGTGAGAGACCCTGACTGTGACTCCCACAACTGTCTGGGTTCTGCTTCACCTCCGTGGTGAGGAGGAACAGAAAGTAGTGTCTCTACCCACATAGGCTGCCCCTCACTTTCCTAGATGGGACAGTGGGAGTTAGTGGGAAAGAGTCTCTGAATTTGGGACCACTTTCTCCCTTCCCGCAAAACTCTTTTTGCACTTCCTCCCCTTTTTGGGATGGCTCAGGGACGTGTTTCCTTAACCAATGTTAACAAATATAAAAATGCCTGCATTACTGAAGTTGACTGTGTCTGGGCATGCATGGACATGCATGCACACTGTTGTACACAAACACACACTGCAGTCACGAGCAGATAGTCACAGTAGGAGCTGAGAATCCTGACCTCACTCAGACTAAACCTGCTGAAAAGTACTGATTAACATTTTCACTAAAGCTTAGGAAGATAATGTCAGAGAAGTAGGGAAATCCTTACCCCATGGCTGCTGGGAATTAAGTAGAAGTCCTGCAGTGTCTTCAGCAGAGTGGGCTCCTTGCAGACCTGGCCTGTGTGTCTTGTGGATTTTCACAGAAATTGCAGCTCCACAACTGGGCTTTATATGCAAGTCATGATGTCAACTGGGGCGTGTCCTTGCAATTGGCAGCTGTTAACTGAAACGAGAAAGTGCAACTAAAGTTGCCAAGTCCTGTACATGGAAACTGAAACTTAAAACAGAGATTGTCCTCTTGCTCTCTCTTCAGAACTGTTGAAGGGAGGGTGTGACAGCAGTCACTCTGCTGTATGGATTCCACTTTCCTGACCCTGCAGATCCTCGATGTAGCAGATGCTAGGTAGTGTGTAATCTACTGAGCCTACATCCTGTGCATCAAAGCTGATGTCCTCAAGTACTGCATTGTGACACCTGAATAAATATTTAATATCCTATTCTAGAGAATCATTGTTTCTTATTAAGTCAGGCATTTGTTGTTCTTTGTCACTTGTAGACTCACACTGACTCCCCAATGGAGTCTTTAGAACAGGAAGACTGTAGCAGATGGTGGTGAAGGAGGAAGGACAAGTCTATTTCATTGTCTTGTCTCAGCTGCATTTTCTTCAGTTAAAGCTGCAAACTAGGCAAGAATGTTCTCACAAGCTCCTCATTTTCATGTTTTTCATTGAAAAGGAAGTCAGGAGGCCAGAGTCATTTCATTATAATATTTAAATGTGGCATGCTTTTTCACCAGAGCTCAGCACTGGCAGAACTAGTATTGGATAGGCTGGACTTAATGAATGAAGTCTCTTCTGAGGACACACTGTCACTTGCTAAGCCAGCATCTCCACCTCTAAAGCCTCTGGAGAAGCTGGGCTCTGTCACTCAGTCCCGATTCCCATACAATCACTTTCTGTTTTCTTTTATCCTCACTGATTTCTAAAAAACGAACCAAAGTGGAATCTTGAAAGACTTTTCTCAGGATCATATAGGATAAGGATAGTAAAGAAACTGGAAAAATACCAGCAAATATATAGGGGAAAAAACTATATTGCCTCTTACATCACCAACCAGAAAGAAAATAAGACAGTACATAGATAGGAAGTTAGTTGAAATTCATAAAACAAACTTTTGGGAAAATATTTTTCTGTTTATAGATATATATTATATTTAATGCATTATCTTTTAACTTAGCATTATAATTTCCCATTATTAAAATTTATCAATAATATGAATAGTGAGTGCTTCATAATAAATGTTGCAACACATGGATGTGAGACAACTTATCTTCTTTTTCCCTTTGTTTTCCCCCTTTTTCCTTTCTTCCATTTATCCTTCCTTCCTGCCCTCATTCCTCATTTTCCTTTCCTTCCATAATTTCTTTCATCTTTTTCTCCCTCCTTTCTTTGTTTTTCCTTCCTTCTCCATTCATCCTTTTTCCCCTCACTCTATTCCAGATTTATTCCTTTTAGATTATTCAGAGGTACCCGTTAAAGCCATTTAAACAATCAACATGACAGACAAGGTAGAAGAAACTGTAGTCCCCCACATCCATCCTATTCCATTTTCTACCCTAGAAATTTAACCACTGTATAACTTTCGGTGACCAGTTTGTTGTTCATTGATATGTCCTTAAATAATATGACTATAATGGCAGTTTTTGACTTTAAAATTTTTCAGCATTATGAATTGGTCTTCTACCACTAAACCTTTTCCCATAGATAAATACACACACTTGCATGCAATCTTCTGCCGGACTCTATGTCACTAGTTCCTAAATCTTTGGAGACTTCTGAATTATAAATTAGGTTCCTCTTTGATTTCCTCCACTGCTGACAGGATGCCAAAAATTTTTCTGCAGGTCACCAGCTTTAAAATGGTATTGTAAGGCACCTGCTCACCCATGTTTATTGCAGCACTATTCACAATAGGCAACCTGTGGAAACAGCCATATGCCCCACTGCCGGTGAATGGATTAAGAAAATGTGGTATTTATACACAATGGAATTTTATTCAGCCACAAAGAAGAACGAAATTTTGTCATTCGCAAGTAAATGGATGGAACTGAAGAACATCATCTTAACTGAAGTTAGCTAGGCTCAGAAGGCCAAAAATCCCATGTTCTCCCTCATATGCAGATTATATACCTAAAACAAATGCAATAATATTATTGGACATGAGTCACACACTAAGAGGGGAGCGTACATGGGAGGAATAAGGAATGGGAAGGAAACCTAAAACTTGAATGTGGTTGATGTGTTCACTGTAGAGGAGTGAATATAGTAATCTTAAACTGGCAGAGGCCCCTATGGGAAGGGGACTAGGAAGTAGTGAAGAGGTCTGGTAGAGATGAACCAATGTGGGTTGCAATACACATATACATGGAAACAATACACATATACATGGAAACAATGCTAGGAATCTCTCTGCGTGCTATCTTTATATCAAATTAGCAAAAATGCTATGCCTTTCTTATTATCACTTCAACAAAATTGGACAAGAAGAGGGTGGAACAGGTTCTGCCAGGCAGCTGGGAGGGGGAAACGAGGGGAGCTGGCCTAAATGCTGTATACACATGTAAGTAAATGTAAAACGATAAAATAAATAAATAAACCAAGGCAAATGCTTTGGCTAAATACAAACATAAATAAACAAATAAATAAAATGGGATGGTGGAGGCTGATTAGGCAAGTCTAAATCCATATGGTAAACCATCAAGACAAGCAGACTGGAACTCTGGTGCATGGCTGACCCTGCTGTATGCAGACAGAGTTTCCTTATTAGGGAATGTCAACTCTGCTCTTAGAAGGAAAGAGGCTGCTGACCAGTGAGCATAGAACTAATGAGGATGAACAAAAACTGCAGGCTGACTTTGAGATTGTTTTGGAGTTGAAAATGCAACTTTCCTGCTCATAAGGTCCTTTCCTTCCTGCATGCCACAGCAGGCCAGGGGGATGAGACAGGCTGCTACTTCCCGACAGAATTCAGTAATACTCTCCCTCTTGCCTTAAACTCCAAAATGCCCTCTCTGAGATTTAGCAAGTTGTAGCTATTCTGGAGAATGTGTGGTGACACTGCCATCAACCATCATCTAGAGAAAATGAACATTAATGACCAAGGGAAAACTGACCATGAGCCTAAAAGCAATTGCCAATAAATGACTCTCTGAAAAAGCCTCAGATGCCTGGGGTTGGCAACTGTGCAGATGCATCCATGAACTGAGGATAAAATGTACCAGCAGCTAGTGTGTCCTTGACCCTGCCACAGGTGGCACCTCTGTGTCTCTGGCTGAAAAGAGCAATACCAACACCACAGATAGTGCAGGTGAAGCCACCACCAAGAATAGCAGAAGGTACTGGAGACACCTTCCTACCTGGCCTCTGGGCTTGGAAGGAGAAGAAGGAGAGAAAGAAAGAGGTGTGGAGGCCTGGTGTAGGGGTCACAAATTGGAGTGAATAGAGGAGACAAAGTGGGTTCACCTTGTGGGAGCTGGGCTGATGGCTGGGCTTCTCATTTCTTCCAGTCTCTTCCAGCTTCTAAGAACTCTCTCATCCAAAATTAAAATCACTTTCCTCTGTCATGTAGATTTTGAGCAAAATCATTTTAAAGAGAAGCACCTGCTTTGGAACTATGTGATTCTGGCTTATCCTCAGTGAACATCAGGCTTCCCAAGAGACTCTCACCCTGTGCCTTGGTATACAAGAGACACTCAATATTAGCTAGGGAGTGTGCAAACAGGATTCCCCTGATGAGTGATCTCATCTCTTTGTTCCTTAAACTCCAAAATGTATTGCCTATAAATCAAAGTTTTAGATGTTCCTAAAACAGAAATAATAGAATTACTATGAGAATTCTCAGTAGATTTTTTTAAATATCAGTGTCTTGAAGTTGTAAGCATGAAACAAAACAAGAGATAAACTATTAATAGTTTCAGGTATATTAAAATATATATTTCCTGGAAAAGATATCTTAAAAACCATCAAAAGATAAATGACCAATTAAAAGATAATACTTAGACATATTACCAGGAAAGGATTCATTTCCTTAATACTGAAATAGTTCTGAAAATTAACAAGAAAAGATCAACCCAATGAAAAAAAATAGGAAAAATTCTGGAACACATAGGAATGAAAATGGCCTTTAAACGTATGAAAAAATTGTCAACGTTACTCCTGCAAAGATCAAGGAGCAATGCAATTCAATACTGCAAGTGAGAATATTTCAGGCCAGCAAGGAAAATGTCTTCTGTGTACTACCATGGTTGTAGATAAATAGACTCTATCATGCCTTGCTGTTAAGATTATATATCATATAGAAAAAGGAACTTGTCCGTGGTCATTAGTGTACCATAATCTTTGCCTCAGACATTTCATTCTTATTAATATTTGCTCATGCATGCAAAGACATATACATGGCACATACATGAGTTTTGTTTAGAATAGCAAAGAATGGAAAAACCTTAAAGTAATGAAAATAATTCACGAGAAGATTTGTTGATTAGTTTTTTAACAATTTATATTGGCAATAACATGTAGTTATTACATTAATAATTATAGTAAGAATAATAGTAATTATAATAATGCAATGAAAAAATGTAGACTTCTATCTTCAAAACATATGTAAGTATAAGTAAATTAAAGTGTAGAAGTGTGTCTAGCATACTAACATTGATGGAAAGAAGGAAAGAAGGAAGGAAGGAAGAAAGGAAGGAAAGAAGGGAGGGAAGGAACCAACAAAGAAAAACTGTATCAGAAGTATACATACCATATTTGGGGAAGGATCTTTCTCTTTAAGGTATCCTTTTAAGATGGAACTGATTATCTAGGAGATGTATGGGAGGGAAATTTAGTTTAAGAGTTTATCTCTTTGAATGTTGAGCTTTGCACCATGAGTACATATTACATAGTCTTTCAAAATAAAATAAGGTCAAAATAAATTTATTGGCTCAAAATTCTGACCATTTCCCTAGTACTTACTTTACACATAGTTCCTTCTGTGGGCAAGGCCACACTAATCAATGTTGAAAATCTCTACACAAAATTGATGACCATCTATCTCTAGTTCTTTCCTCTAGAAATTCTCTTCCACCAACCTCTCTCACATACACAAAATGTTCTCCAACTCTTTCCATCATACTTAATCTTACTTATCAAAACTGATTTTTTAAAAATCAATCACCTCCAAGTGATTGCTCTCCTACTGTCCTCTACTTTTTTATGTGTTTTTGTTTGTTTGTTTGTTTGCTTGCTTGCTGTCAATGTTAGGTAGTACTTTTTCTGCAACAAGCTTTTACTGGGTTTCCAATGAGTATCAAGTAATGTGATGGATGAATGGGCCAAGAGGAAAGGCACAGGCCTTGCTATAATAGTTCACAGTGCTCTCTGGTGTTTCTACTGAGAACACACAAAACTTCAGTTATCTCATTTTCCAATAAAGCAGGAAATGCTTCATCTATTCCTTGTGCTATTCAGGTTTTCATGAGCTTTCCTCTCTGTCATTTTAAATGCATGCAAATTGAATCTTGCAATCAGATTAAAATCCAGAAAGACAGGGACCAGGGCTTTTACTTCAAAAGGAAAGTATGGGATTGATGTCTGTGGCTTTGGCCTGAGGTGAGTGTTGGGATCTCTGCCTGCAGAACTTTGTTTAGCATGAAGCAAGTCTAAAGGAAGGCAAAAAATCTCATGAAAAACCCTGAAGTTCCCTGAAGGCTTGTATTCCAGTGAGCAGGTGAAGTAGCTGGTGAGAGAAATGGAAATGTTCTGCTTCTGATTTCAAAAAATCAGTAATTCATATACAGCAGAGAACACTGGCTCATTTCTTCTGACTTCCTTTGCTGTCCCTTGTGCCTTCATATGGCTCTTCTCGTAACCCTTACCCATCAACAATTCATGATAACTTACTTTGGAAAGTCTTTTGATTCTCAGAACCAATCATTGAGGAATTTGTGGCATTCTCTGAGAGCATTAATGTTCTGAATACATGTTCCCCTTTAATACTGATAAAGGTTCTATTTGAGTACAGGATGCTCTGGGTCCAAAAAGGTAAAACACAGAACTCTTACCCCATGGTGGAAAAGATGAGAATAAGAGAATAAATGTCAAAAAGAACCTCCCAGTGGATGGAATTACTGTGTGGGGAACAATGACAGAGTAGCTCCCATCAGAAAACAGAACAGGGTCTAATTTCCCAAAGAGTCTTCAAAATGTTTTTCCACCAGACTTATCACTGCTATGGACCCACGACTTTGAAGATTTATTGATGTTTTCTTTTTATGGGTATGTTTCTTATTATCCCATACCAACTCTGTGTATGATACATATCAACAATCTAGTCTTATCTGGGCTTTCAGATTTTTTAAATTACCAGAACACAAAGAGTCATCTCTACATAATTAGAGAGGATGGTGCCTCACCCAGAGATTTCTGACAGCCCAGTGTAATATTGCCTTGACTTTAGGTGGACTCACTTGGCAAAGGTCTGTATATGTTCCATGTTTAGGAAGAAGGATGCAAGTGACTCTTTGGGGTTGGAGTAGAATACTGTGGTAGAAACAGCTTATGTCCACTCATACTGTAATCTCTCTTGTATAGTATGAAGCTAACACAGGGAAGGGGGTTTACAATCTGGATCTACATTTCCCAACCTCCCCTTCTATCTAGGGGCATGTTCTAACTCTTCTTAATGAAATATGAATGTAAGCAATGTATGTTAGATCAGGTAAGATGATTGAGAACTAGATTTGCATTCTCTAGTCTGTTCCTTGGGCCCCAGGGATGGTAGATTCTCTGGATGAGGGAAATGTGAGTGCTTACATCAATGCATGGAGGAGAACTTCCACATGTCCAGCAATGCCACCATTAAATGGTCATGTAAGAAAAATCCCCCTTTACAGTGTTATTTATGTTTGGGGGATTTATTACAGCACCTAGTCTTCTACTGATTCAGGATTCCTATAAGAAAAATATTTCCCCTTTGGCCAAACATTATTATTCCCCAATTTAGAAATATTTTCTGTCTGGGATAAATTTTGGCTCTTTTGGCAGCAGAACAGCAATGTGAGAATAGATCAAAAAGTTTGCATAGACAAAAATCAATTAGTGATATATAATAAGCTGAAATAATTAGAGAACATAAGAGATTTTTTAAAGGAAAATTAAGAAGAATGAAGGGAGTAAGAATTTATAAAATAAATTGGGGCAGCAGCCACCCCCTGTTATCCAGCTACTCAGGAGGTAGAGTTCTAAAGGCTTGCAAGTAAGACTCCATCTCAAGAACAAGCTGAGCATGGTGCTGCACACCTTGATCTCAGTTAAGTGTGAGGTGTGGTAATCTGAGGCCAAATCAAGCCAAAAAGGTCATTTTCCTATCTAGAAAATAACCTAAGGAAAACGCAATCAGGGGCATAGAGCGCAAAGCAGGCCTAAGGCCTGAATTTAAAACCCAGTACACCAAAAAATGCAGAAGAGATAGTGGAGTTGACTACAGAAACATAACAGATAAAGTAAAATACACACAGTGAAACAGTAAGAGAATAGAAAAGTATAAAGCAAAGATTTACTAAATAAAAGTAAATAGTAGGTAAGATGAAGGAAAAACAAGCAATTAATTGCTAAATACTTCTTTAAGAGCTCATAAACTAAAGCAAGCCTCTGCTGAATCATTCCCACAAGTTTGACCTCTCTGCGAGACATACAAGCCAGAGGACCTGAGCTGCCTGACACAATCCACCTATTCAGGAAACCTGAGCTCAGGCTCTGAGTGACCATCTCCCTCTCACTAATACTTCTGCTGCCCAAAGTCACCAAACTCTTGCTTCCCTGTGCAGGAAGTGACACGTGTGTCAAAACATTGGAAGCAAGATACAGAAAGTTTGTTCTTTTGTGATTTAGAAGGAAAAGAGTCTTATTTGCTGTGATCCTGTTTCTTGACATTCAGATCTGTGCTGTGTCACAAAGTGTCCATCTTTCTTTTTTTCCCTACAGCGAGAATACTAAGAAATCCTTGGAGAGCAGCCTACAGCAACTAAAATGCCATTTCACCTGGAACCTGATGGAGGGAGAACAGTCCTTGGATGAGTTTGAGAACAGAGTGTTGAACAAGTGTGAGCTTCAGAACAGTGAGTTTAAAGCCACCATGTGCAACATACAGGCCTACATCAAGCACCACCGAGGGCAAAACGAGGCGGCCCTGGAATGCTTACAGCAAGCTGAAGAGCTAATCCAGAGACAGCATGCTGGCCAGGCAGAAATCAGAAGTCTGGTGACCTGGGGAAACTATGCCTGGGTCTACTATCACATGGGCCGGCTCTCAGAAGCTCAGATTTATGTGGACAAAGTGAAAGAGGTCTGTGCCAAGTGTTCCAGTCCCTATAGAATTGAGAGTCCTGAACTTGACTGTGAGGAAGGGTGGACACGGCTAAAGTGCACAAAACGGCAAAATGAAAGGGGGAAGGTGTGTTTTGAGAAGGCTCTGGAAAAGGACCCAAAGAACCCAGAATTCTTCACTGGATGGGCCATAGAAAACTACCGTCTGGATCGCTGGCCAGCATCTCAGAACCCCATCGATGCTCTGAGGACAGCCATTGAGCTGAATCCTGACAACCAGTATATGAAGGTCCTCTTGGCTCTGAAACTTCAAAAACTGAATGAAGAAGATGAGGAAAGTGAAGGAGACAGGCTAGTGGAGGAAGCCTTAAGGGAGGCTGAAGGTGCAACAGATGTGCTGTGCAGTGCAGCAAAGTTTTATCGAAATAAGCGTGCTGTGGACAAAAGTATCGATCTGCTTAGAGAGGCGTTAAAAAGCATGCCAGACAATGCCTACTTGCATTACCATATTGGGTGCTGCTATCAGTCCAAAGTCCAACGAATGCTAAGTATGAGAGACAGGGGAGTGAATGGGAAAAGTGAGTTCCTGGAATTAACGCACAGGCTGTGCACCATTTAAAGAGAGCTGATGAGATCAATGGCAATCTCTTGAATGCTTGTAGCCATCCTGCTGGTATTTTTTCCTATGGTAGGTCAATATGAAGAAGCAGAAAAAACTCAGCAAGGAACATGCTCCTATAGCTAAACAACTGCTCCATCTGTTTTATGGCAATTTTCAACTGTATCAAATGAAATTGGAAGACAAGGCCATCCAGTAGTTTAAAGAGGGCATGAAAATAAACCAGGAATCAAAGGAGAAAGAAAAGATGAAAAGTAAATTGCAAAGAATTGCCCAAGGGTGGCTTTCTAAAAATGAAGCTGATTCTGAAGTTTTGCATCTCTTGGCATTTCTTCAGGAGTTGAATGGAGAAATGCAGCAAGTAGATGCTGACACTGAGAGGGATGTAAGCACAGGAAGTTGTGTCCCTCTGGCATCTTTAGATGAGACAGGAAATGAAGAATAGGGATGTGCTGCCCACAAAGACACTGCCTGATGGGACTGGTCACTCTTCATAATTTTTAACAATTGGAATGGTATAAACATGGACTAAGACATTGGCCATTGCACTGGATCAGGGTTAGGGAGATCTTGCCATGCCAGATGTGAGCACCTGAGTGGCTGGATCATGGGGCATTTTGGGAGATGGAACAGTTGGGCATAGAACCTTGGGTGTGGTTTGTAAGGTGATATTCCTTCAAGTCATCTACCATGGAACAATGCCTTAAGATTTTTCTATGTTTATGTAAAGCAGCCAGTTTCCTCACATCTGTAATGTTTTTCCATCATGGAGTCATTTTAGATCTTGCACAGGTTGGTCGTGCAAAGACAATAATGTAGTGTGTTCACTGAAAAGAAGAGGGAACAAAGGCTAGATAGGTCTTTGTATTCTCTGTAACTCCTTTCCTCTCCTCTGCCTCTTTCCTCCTCTTTCTCTTCCAGTCCTTAATGTACAGTGCACCATACAACGTGAATTCAATGCCCCAATAACTGAGGTGGCAGCATAGTTTGAATAAAAGATAGTAGCAAACAGGTGAAATCTAGAAGGGATATCTGAGGAGAACCCATGAAGTCTGTGGAAATCTTTCCGGAATCTCAAAGGGAGACTTTCCTTCCATCTGCTATAATTATAGCACTGCAGGAAAATATAAAGGGTATCTTGTAAAATATGCTAGCAACTAAAATACACATTTATTTAAATCTTTTGTGTGGAAGGGTTAATGTAGTGGGTCAAGTGGTAGAGAGCCTGTTTACCAAACATAAGGCCCTGATTTCGAGCCCCTGTATGGTCAAAAAAAAAAAAAATGGGCAAATTTTGAGTTGGTGAACTGGTTCAAGTGGTAGATGCCTGCCTAACATCTGGGGTTTTACTGCCACCCCCCCACCCAAGACCCAAATCTTTGTGTGGAAAACAAAAAGGGAAACACAAAAAGTAAGCAAAAGATAGAGAAAAGGAAAGCTGAATCTTTGTAGATTATAATCACATGGAGAAATTTTCACCTGTTAAGACCTCCCACATTTTTGTTTTTATAATTTTAATGGGTTTCATTTTTATTTTCATGCATGGATATAAATATAATATACTTTGATTATATTTATCCCCTTTTCAACAGCAAGACTTACTTTCTTCAAAACTGGCTTGAGGATCGCATGTTTGAGATGATAGCAAGGCAGCTGAATGGGAAGAACAGCTTGGTGACAAGGGTCTATGAAAAGTCTAGGAAATGACATTGATAATGAAGGGTGTTTCCCCCTCATTAGAACTGTTCCACATTTGGTGATCGAAACACTTCATTAACTACTTAGAGATACCAGAAAATTAATGGTTTGATGGTGGTGATTGGGATTTTTCTAGTAGGTATTGCTTGGATTAGGTATAAAGACTGGCATGAACCAAAGTGGACTCATTTAGCACAGCATGAGACCATCTGCCACTTTCTGGGTTGGAAAACATTTGTCTGTTGGCATTACTTCATATGTACCAATGTACCAGCAATGTTATTAAGCAATTAAAACATATAAATTCAATAAAATGACAACTACTGTAACAGTTTCATGTTATCTTCTGCATTGAAAATAGGGTTATAAGTCTAAAGCTGATTGCTGACATCTGTAATCCCAGTTACTTGGGAAGATGAGATTTGGAGGAGAGAATGAGGATGAGATTGGCCACAGTTTGTGGGCAGTCATGGCAACAAATTTCCCAAAACCCCAGATCAATAGAAAAAACTGGACATGGTGTCCTGTGCCTGCCTGAGTTCAATCTCCACTGCCATCTTAAAAAAATATGTTTGAGATGAAAGAGTTCACTGATTTCATGAAAAAAGTCATGACTTCCATTATTAAATTACTTACATATAATAGCATCTAAAGCAATGCCAGTTTATCTGAAATTTTGCTTTACCTTAAGTCTTTTAGAATTAAGTACTGATATGTGAAATGTTATGGTGAGTATGAACTGGCCTCAAATTATCTAGAGTTGTTAATATTAAAACCACTAAATTGAACTAAGAGTTCTACTCAGTGTTAGAGTTCTGGGCTTGTGTTTATACCTGCCACCTGCCCCAAAATGCCCTTTGTACACACAGCACTGTGCATCTCCTTCACCCCCCCCTTGACTCTGGGGTGCTACTTCCCTTTTCTCTGTTAAACCTTTCTCTTAGTTACATTCTCTTTCTTTGTCCTCTATTTTGAGAAATGAGGAAGTGGTGCTGATTCTGTTTTATGCCCCATCCTGGAGGCAATTCAAATGCTTGTTAGAGAATTTTCCCCAAAGGGTAAAGAATAGCAAAAGGCAAGGAACCCTGAAACCTCTTGTAGTCTTCCAGAGGGCTTTAGTGGAAAATAAAAATCACAAGAGCCACATTCAGAAACTCATTCAATTGGACAGGTGTAGATTTCAGAGGAAGGTCTAACTCTCTTTGTCTGAGTAACCTACTGGATCAGGAACCTAGGGACGAAAGAGAGGACAGTTCTGAATAAAAGGGAAATAGGCAGATGTAATGGCCTGGATGGAGGAATGCTGACACCTGTGTGTGCTAAAGAACCAGGTATGTATAAACTTGTCCTTTCATATCAGTCCACCAAACCTGTGCTGGAACAAGCATCTTGAAAGGGGGAAAAGGGGGAAGGGTAGAAAAGAGATCAATGACTATTATAACTAATATTTATTTGAGGAGATAGAGGCAACAAATAATTGGAAAACAACAAAGCAGATTATGTATGTAGCTCATGTTTCTTGAACTTTCACTACCTGGGGATTATAAATGAAATCACATTAATTGATCTTGATTGGTAAATCCCTGCTACCTAACTATGTGTCCCAGTGTGTGACAGTCTGCTTCCCCCATGTACTCACCAAGGTAAATAACAAGTCCCCATCAGCACTCTCTAGGTGCTGACAAACAACTCTGTCAGAATTACCTGACTATCTGCTGATTGTGTGCTCCAGCACCTATGCCACCCGTGTCCATTGCCCGCAAAACTGCTTTGATACCTCCTGCTTGTCACTGCCACTTCGAGGGTCCTAATATACTGCCTAAGATGATCTCAGGTGTGCTTGCACCAATGAAGGAGTGAGGACAATTTCTCTCATCCCCACCTTGGTTTCGAGTACACTTGTTACTGTTTCGTGAAAGTAGCTAGTATCTCTCTCTCCATTGAATGCTAACCTAGTCCCTGGGAACAGCAGAGTCATGATCTACTTCCTGCTTCTTTCCTCCTGTGCTAGTCATTGCTATTAATCTTTAAAACACTGTTTACCACTGAGCACTTTGGCTCGAGCCTGTAATCCTAGCCACTTGCAAGGCTGAGATCTGGAGGATCTGGCTTCAAGGTAGTCCAGGCAAATAGTTTGCTCAACCCCAAAATAACCAGAATAAAAATGGACAACTGGTGTGGTTCAGGAGGTAGAGCGCCTGCTTTGTAAGCATGAAAGCCTGAGTTGTTCAAACCCTAGTCTAATAAAACAAACAAAGAAACAAACAAACTGTTTATCAATTATCACACAGTTAATAGTCTTTAGCCAGCAAAATTTCTGCATGTCAGCAAGATCTGTCAATTAAAAAAATCTGTTTTGTGTTCTTTGTCTGTCTTTCCTCCTGGAGAGCTGAGTTCTCAGCAATGTATGATGTGTTTCTGGAATGGGTATCTAATTGAAATTGACTTTGGAGAAATGCTTAGGTTTATTTCCCTCAAACTTCTACATTGTAGTGGTACCATATTGCAATACAGGTTCAGCATTATGGAGCATGTCAGGAAGTATTTTTCCAATAGTTGACCTTGGTGCCTATCAAATGAATGTCTGTTGGCATTGCCATAATATGGAGGGGGCTAGAGAACTATTTCCCCAGGGCTGGCCTGGAATGGTTATCTTTTCAATTTCAGCCTCTCAAATAGCTAAGATTATAGGAATGAGCCAATAAGTGACTGGCCAATCTTACACTTTGAAGTTATTGAATTCTTACCTGTATTTTTATTTCAAAAAATTTAACAGTCTTATAGAAAGTGGAGATCTCCCATGCTCATGGATTGGTAGAATCAACATAGTAAAAATGTCTATACTCCCAAAAGTAATCTACATGTTTAATGAAATTCCCATCAAAATTCCAATGACATTCATTAAAGAGATTGAAAAATCTACCATGAAATTTATATGGAAACACAGAGGCCACGAATAGCCAAGGCAATACTCAGTCAAAAGAAAAATGCTGGCGGTATCACGATAAAACCTGACTTCAAACTATATTACAAAGCAATAACAATAAAACAGCATGGTACTGGAACAAAAACAGACATGAAGACCAGTGGAATAGAATAGAGGACCCAGATATGAAGCCACACAACTATAATCAACTTGTCTTTGACAAAGATGCTAAAACTATACGATGGAGAAATAGCAGCCTCTTCAAAAAAAACTACTGGGAAAACTGGTTAGCAGTCTGCAAAAAACTGAAACTAGATCCATGTATATCACCCTACACCAATATTAACTCAAAATGGATCAAGGATCTTAATATCAGAACACAAACTCTAAAGTTGATACAGGAAAGAGTAGGAAATACTCTGGAGTTAATAGGTATAGGTAAGAACTTTCTCAACGGAACCCCAGCAGCACAGCAACTAAGAGACAGCATAGATAAATGGGACTTCATAAAACTAAAAAGCTTCTGTTCATCAAAAGAAATGGTCTCTAAACTGAAGAGAATACCCACAGAGTGGGAGAAAATATTTGCCAGCTACACATCAGACAAAGGACTGATAACCAGAATATATAGGGAACTTAAAAAACTAATTCTCCCAAAACTAATGAGCCAATAAAGAAATGGGCAAGTGAACTAAACAGAACTTTCTCAAAAGAAGAAATTCAAATGGCCAAAAAACACTGAAAAAATGCTCACCATCTCCAGCAATAAAGGAAATGCAAATTAAAACCACACTAAGATTCCACCTCACCCCTGTTAGAAT